AGTGTTCCCACTGAGATTCCACAATTTGCTAATGCAGGTGGGGTGCAGCGAGTACAATTTAGCATTATGCCAGAAATAGATTTACCAAGTTGGCTAAGGTTTATTCACTCATACACACTGTTCTTGTACACGAGGCAATTACATTTCCTATGGGCATGTATCTTCAGTCAACCCTATAGACTGTCGGCAGCTATAAAAATTTCACAGTACACAAATATGGGCTTGGCACATTAGTGATGTCTACTTTGGTACCAAGCCCTGTTTGGTACAAATGTAATATCATCAAGAATTTCCAGATACAACTCTTGGCAAAGCGGATATTGCTGTTCATTTGTTTCCAAAGATAAAGATACCCTCCAGGGAAAAAAACAAAGGAAGAAAGACTACTTGTTCCTTATGGATCTGAGTCAGAGAGTTTCTTTTCTAAGACAAAAAATATAAATAAGCTGTGTTTTAATAAAATCCATTATCACAACACATAATAAAATAAACAGAGAAAAAGAGTAGTGTAGAATCATTAAGCGATAGAGCCACTGAGTTGAAAGGAACCATTCATGCCACTTTATTCAGTCCCTATTCCATGCAAGTGTCCAAATTATAGCATCCCTTGAAGACATTTATCTAGCCTTTGCTATATTTCAAATTTGGATTCGGAAACTAATCAACAGTCAGAATAGCTGCACACATTCAATACAATATTCACTCACTATATCTAGTGTAGGATCTCTGTTCTTGAAAGGAGGAGTATGTATAAAGTGCAGTTGATACCATAAAGTGGGAAGATAGTTTCTAAATTACTATCCATTGCAAGCTGTGTAACTTTTTTTTTTGCTCTACGCTTCTCTCCCAGATGCATACCGTCATGGCTAACAGAAGTGATGTATGTCCCGTCCCAGATACCTTCTCTGTTTTTCTTTCTTGTTCATTACTGTAACACATATATTAATTCTTTAAGGGACCATCAATTAGTTCCTAAGACTGCTGGGAAAGGAAAGAGTAGTGGAGAGGGGGACTCAATCCAAGGGTCCCACCACATACTACAGCAAGGGTCTTCAAACCTGACAGCTTTAAGACTTGTGGACTTCAGCTCCCAGAATTCCTGAGCTAACATGACTGGAGTAGAAATTCTGGGAGTTGAAGTCCACAAATCTTAAAGCTGTCAGGTTTGAAGACCCCTGTACTACAGGAATTCACTTGCCCATGATAGTACCCCAAATGGGGGAGGGCTGTAGAGTGAATATGGATCCAAAACTCTACTGCTGCTCTGCCAGGCTCCAAGAACCAGAGGTGGGTATTCAGCAGGTTCTGACCAGTTCTGGAGAACCAGTAGTGGAAATTTTGAGTAATTCGGAGAACTGGCAAATACCACCTCTGACTGGCCCCGCCCCCATCTATTCTCTACCTCCCAAGTCCCAGCTGATTGGCTGGGTCTTCTTTTGTTGCCCTGCACAGGAGAACAGAGCTGGAAAGCAGGTTAGTGGGGTGGGGAGGGAATGGGATTTTGTAGTAACCTTCCCCTGGAGTGGGGTGGGAATGGAGATTTTAAAGTATCCTTCCCCTGCCACACTCATAGAACCTGTAGTAAAAAAAAAATGATTCCCATCACTGCCAAGGACTATAGGGTTTATAGTTCTTTAGTTCTTTATAAGAGTTTCCTACCTGACCAGGGAGTTGGACTAGAAGACCTCCAAGGTCCCTTCCAACTCTGTTATTCTGTTAACTGACTTATTACCACTAATCTAGAGATGGAATAAACATTTCCCTCCCAATTGAAATGTGGGAAAATGGAAGTAACACTGGATATTTTGTTTTGTTAAGTCTTGCGAAAAAAAATCCTGCCAGTTTGTTTTCAGTTTCAATTGTTCTTTTTGCTGCAGTTTTTGCCACTAACACAAAATATTGAACTTAAAAAAAAAAAAAAAATAGATTAGCAACTGTCTTCGGGGTAATATCCACTTTGTTAACTTGCATGAATACTCATTTGAATAATCCAGGGTACAGACTGTGAACACATGGTTTTTTGTGGGATAACACAACAGCTTTACAAAACTGAAAATTAAATCTTAAGTAACACATTATTTAGTTTGCTAATGAAAGCATAATTGGAGACATAGAAGTAAACATATTAGGAAATATGGCGAGGTAATGTAGTTTTAAGAATAGCATTACCACTCAAATTACCACGTTTTTTCTCTCCTTAGCATCCTTTTTATTTAATTAGCTATCTCAGGGAATTTAGGTATACATTAGCAATGTCTTTACAAAATGAGATCAGACCCTCTCAAATACAGAGCCAAATCAAATCCACCTATGATTGACATAAACCTGAGAAAAATGAAATGTCCGGGAATAGATTTTCAACAGAATTATCCCCAATCCGAAAACAATAGCTATCCCAAAAAGGAGGAGCTTCCTCAAGCCATTTCCCAGTCTACTTGGTAAGCCCAGATAGCTTTCAGATGAGGAGTTCACTAATTTTTTTAGAATTACATCTCTCAATTTTCAGAATTCTCCTGTCTGAAGGTTTTGTTTTGTCCTGTGGAAAGCGGGAAGAAGGTTTTGTTTTGTCCTTTCCAAAAGCGAAACCTTCAGACAGGAGAATTCTAAAAATTGAAAAATGTAATTCTAAAAAAAAAATAGGAAAGTCCTCATCTGAATTCCTCATCTGGAGTCCACACCAGTGGTGGTGAACCTTTTGGGCTTGGCTTTTCAAAACATTGGAAAATGCCTAATTTGACTCTGCTGGTTTGTCGTGCATACAGCTCTTCCAAACAACAGTGGAACAATTCTCTATTGGAGTACAGCTTTATAGCCTTTAAGTCTGTTTGAATAATTACAGGTAGTGGAACTTCCAGTCCCAACTTATTGGGAAGTTCCTAGTAGGCAGAGTTCCAATCAGCAGGCAAAGCATTATCAGGGCCCAGTCCAGGCATCATAGTGTCATTGGTAGGTCATTAGCTGGTCTGGGTCTAAAGGAACAGAGTTTCGACAAGCAGGAGTTGAGGACACAACATCCAGAATTTCTGGTAAATGATCCAGTTGTTCCTAATGAACGACTGCTTGCAAGTGGTAGTTCTAAAATAGAACTGCAATCAGATGCAAAATATTACTGAAGGGAATCCTTGCCTCAGAAAGAATCATGCAGGTCTTTTTCCTTCTGACCTTCACTCAGCCCCAGATGTCTTTAGATTAGAAGGAGGCCCTGGATCAGACCTCTCATCCTTTTCTGTTTCCACTTGCTTCTCATGTTCTGCGACCTAATCAGCCCCAGATAACTCTCCTCCTCCCCCAGAATATGCATGGAATCAGACATAAAGGTTTCCACATCAGTCATTTTCATGGAACATTTAGGGTGTGAGGACTCAGCAACCTGACAAGCATGGCACTGTCCATGGTGCTACTGTACCACTCAAACCATGGACCAAAGGACTGACTGGATGGACCTAAGCCCCGACTGATTCAAAACTGGCCTTCTTTTGCCTGACTGCAACTATCTGTCCATTCCAAACACTTTCTCTTCCTCAGTGACAATAGAGATTTTGTAACTATAGCAGTATGTAAGAAACCTATGGTAAAGTACACTACTAAAAGAAGGAAGATGTCTTGATTTAGTTTGTAAATAAATTTGGAAAAGTAATTACTACTTCAAAACATAAATCTATTTAGGTTTCCTCAGTCCAAAATATAGGTAGTCCTCAAATTACAACAGTTCATTTAGTGACTGAGAAGTACTGAAAAAAGGGACTTATGACCGTTTTTCACACTTAAGACCATTGCCGCATCGTCATGGTCACGTGAACAATATTTGGATGCTTGACAACTGGTTCATATTTATGATGGTTGCAGTGTCCTGGGGTCATGTGACCACCTTTTGCAACGTTCTGATGAGCAAAGTCAATGGGGAAGCCATATTTACTTAACAGCCGTGTTACTAACTTCACAACTGCCATGATTCACTTAACAAATGTGCAAAGGAAGGTTGTAAAATGGGGCAAAATTCACTTAACAAATGTCTCATTTAGCAACAGAAATTTCAGGCTCAATTGTAGTCATAAGTCAAGGACTACCTGTAATTTCACAGCCCTTTGCTCCTACTATTCATAATATTGAATCCTTGATCTAAATATTTCTGAATAATTGTACAATGTACAATGTCATGGTCTGCTACATCAGTAAGTTCCAAAGCTTAACTGGAGCGGTTTCTGCCTTGGAATTATTTTCCAATCACAAACTCATTAGTTCATTTTACACAAATTAAACCATGGTTTCATTTTGCCGGGTGTTATTTAGTATTATAACTCTTGCTCATGGAAAAAAAAATGGGTCTTTGGCTTAAATATGTTCCTTACCTCAGGATAACCAAGACCAATTGCTTAGTATAACATCTTAATAGCATCAGCATAAAGCGTACAACATTACTAGAGCAATCTGAATTGAGCTAAGTGATTTTTCAGAATGGTTTCTTTCGGCTCAGCTGATGAAATTTCTTGGAATATCATAAATACACTAAGTGATCAGTCAAATATACAGTGCATAGACAGCTTGCGGGAAAGATTTAAAATTAGTTCAAATTTGTTTCTCTCCAGATTAATATAGACCCGTGATGGCAAACCTATGGCAAGCGTGCCACAGGTAGCACGCAGAGCCATTTTGCTGGTATGCAAACTGCAGGCAAACTTACTTCACTGGGCATGCGTGCACCTCACAGCTGATTTCAGCAGGTTTGAGGCCTTTTTTGGCCTCCCAAAGGCTTGAGGAAGGCTTCTGCAGGCTTTGCAGGCCGAAAACTAGCCCCGTTTCATCACTTCCTGTTTTTCCAAAAATACCGGACATGTCGAAATAGGGCTAGTTTTCAGCCTGCAAAGCCTGCAGAAGCTTCCTCAAGCCTTTGGGAGGCCAAAATCAGCTGTGAGGTGCAGTGCAGGTAAGGGGGTGGTGGGGGTAGGTGGGTCGTGATTACGCGTGCATGCATAGGGGGGCGTGTGTGTGTATGAATTGCCTTCTGGGTGCTAGCACGCGAGTGCGAGTGTGCAAGCGCGCGTACAATTTTTGGCACAGGAGCCCAAAAAGGTTAACCACCACTGATATAGACGTTCTGTCCTGCAGAGTAGTATGAAGTTAAGAACAACTTTATGACCCAAGTGATGCTGTTGCTGACATCTTGAGTACCTGGAAGCTGTGGGAGGTCTGGACATTCTTTGATTGAAACCTGGAAAGACTGAATGGCTTTGGGTGTCACACCATTCTGAATTTGGCCAGCAAAGGAAAAGATCATGCTGAGTGGTTCAAGAGAAATTTTTACAGGATTTGGCTTGGCATGTAGTGAATACAAAAACAAAAAATGTTTCTAGCCAGCATTACTGGCTTCCGCCAATTAGTTGGCTATGAGGGCATGGCATGTCCCACCCACACCTGCTTCCAGCCTGCTCCAACAAGCACTGTTCACCGGTTCTCTGCAGGCTCCAGCAAGCCTGGATTCATGGCCTCTTGATCCCGCTGCAGCTGTCTCTCTTTGCCAGCCTGCTCCAGCAAACACCCCTTGCCGGCTCACTGCAGGCTCCATCAATCCTGGATTTATGGCCTCTCATGTCACTCTCTTCCTGACCCTCCACTTGCGTGAGTTCATTATAGCACCCACTACCCAACATCCAACCGCCCCCTTCCGAGGCGAGTTATGGCAGTTAGTGGCAACTCTGACTCTCCGACATTGACATTGGGTGCATGGAGCTTTAAGATCTTAGGACTTTAACATATTTAGTTCTTGAGGGGTTGCCTACCCTAGAGAAACCCAGAGTACAAAGAGCAGGTGGCAGTCATGCTAGAAGAACCTTTGCACAATTCCAGGTTGTATGCCAGGTGCAACCTTTCTTGGATTGGAAGGCCCTGCAGCGAGCATTCAAAGTCATCTCACAACTCAACTCTTACAATGTGCTCTATGTGGGCCTATCAAAGGTATAAATACAGATTGGGTAAGACCTGGCTTAAAAACAGTAAGTGTGAAAGGGACCTTGGAGTCCTAGTGGTCGATCCTTTGAATATGAGCTAGCAATGTGCAGCAGTATCCAAAAAAAAGCAAACACAATCCTAAATTGTATAAACAGAAACATAGAATCGAGATCACGTAAAGTATTAGTGCCGCTTTACAAAACCCTAGTAAGACTATATCTGTAATACTGGAACCAATTTTAGTCACCAAACTACAAAAAAGATGCTGAGACTTTGGAAAAACGTTCAGAGAAAAGCAACTAAGATGATCAAAGGCCTGGAGACTAAAACATATGAAGAACAGCTGCAGATTTTGGCTCTGGCTAATCTAAAGAAAAGTTTTAGCTCCAACTGGGTACTGGAGTATCTCACTAATAAATTAGTCTACTCACAATTGGTATGATGAAGTTTATTACAGCAGTCCCAGTCCTGATAAGCAAAAACGGTATTTCCCGATTAAAGTCAGCACTGAGTCTACCTCTCAGTGCCTTTTATGCTGTGCTCTAGTCCCTCCCAGCTAACAACCTGACATCTGCTGCTGCATTATCTACTCCCACACCCCCTTCCCTGCCTATTTGTCATCACCTAATCTTTATTTACATTCCTTTCTCTCCCCGTGCTATCTATCCCTTCTGTATCCTTACCTACCTCCCATTCCCCCCTCCCATCTATCTGAATCAGGGTCATAAACTCTCACCAACTGATATCCCCAAAGCCCCACATTGTGGTTTACATCAACACGCGAAATAAGCCTGATGACTAATTAGTGTCCATGTGCCTCTCAGCTGTCTAGCTGTCTCAACAATTCAGCATAAATGACAGTCGTCCACACATCCATCAGTCCCGCAGCCCCAGCGATGTATCGGGCTCCAAGTGAGTGCCAGACGTAAGTAAATTCCCAGAGCCCAACAAAAACGATATAGAGGTGACATGATAGTATTCCAGTATTTGAGGGGCTGCCATAAAGAAGAGAGGTCAAATTATTCTCCAAAGCATTTTCGGGCAGGACAAGAAATAATGGTTGAAAACTAATCAAAGAGAGAAGCAACCTGGAACTAAGGGGAAACTTCTTAATGGTGAGGACAATTAACCAGTGGAACAGCTTGCTTTCAGAAATCGTAGGCGCTCCATCACCGGAGGTTTTTAAGAAGAGACTAGACAGTCACTTGTCTGAGATGATATAGGTTCTCCTCGGGCAGTTTTTGGGGTGTCCCATGTTGCACCACTGTTCCACAAGCTGCACGGCCTACAAGTTTGCTTCCTGGATACAATTCAGTGTGTTGGTTATGACCTTTAAAGCCCTTCATGGCATAACTTGAAGTTATCTGAAGAATCGCCTCACCCCAATGGAACTGGCCTGTCCCACCCATGCCAGCAGAAGGGACAGATTGTAAACCCCGTTGATCAAGGAATTTTGACTGGCTAGGGTCCAGAAGAAGGTTTTTCTTGTCGTGGTACAAAAGGAAAGGCCCCACCTCTCCTTGGGTACTTCATGCTTTCCTCCTCCCCATCTTTTAGCTGTACTTATTATTATAGTTAATATGTATTATTTTATTATTTTAATGTCTATTGGTTTAAATGTTTGTTAGCTTCCCAGAGTCACCTCTAGATTAGATGAGAAGCACATAAATCTAATAAATGAATAAATAAATAAAACAAGGCTTCCAATTCAACTGAAGAGCAGATATATTTTCTTCAGTCTATTTTTTAAATTTTCTGTCAACCAACTGTATCTCTTAATACTGTACATCTACTTTCTATAGGAAAACATGGAAAATCTTATGCATTTTTCTTGAAGAAAACAGTTATTAATTTCAGTACTCCTGATAGCATGATACTGAATAAATGTAAATGAGATGAGAAACTGGGGCATTTTCAAATAGTTCGCATTGTTATTATGTATTTGTTTTCAAATGTCATTTCTCTGAAGGCTAATTTAGTGTTATATTTTACAATTTACATATTAAAAAGACCCATTAATCTTGTAATATTTTTGTTGTGAGGGATAATAACGGAGAATCATGGCAGAATTTAATCCAAAATGAATTCCAGATTTACATTTCTGTTGTCAGTAATTGCCTGCAATAGTGCTGTACAGGGCAAAAGATGTAATTAAAAAATGACAAATGCTTTCCAATAAAGAACCTACTCTTACCTACCAAATTTTTCATGGGCCATATTTATGCAGGTATTGAGTCATCAATGTAACTAAAGTGGGATGGGGAAATAATTTTAATAACACCTTTTCAGAAGCAAGTTTCACTGACCTTTAGGGTTGAAAAATGTATAGATGGTTAAATATATGGTTGAATACCACAGGGATAATTTTAATTGATTCATTTTAATTTTCATTGATTAATTGAGTGAAATCACAAAGACTGAAACCACTAAGAGCTGAAAGAAAATGTGAAGCTGGAGAAAACTCATCCAAACAGTGAGCTTCTAGTATCTCAGTCCCAAGATCCAGTTTAAGTCCTTGGGTATTCTACCATACTTGTTCTAGAACAGGGGTGTCAAACTCAAGGCTCCCAAACTCCAGCCCACAGGGTGATTAGATTTGGCCTGCGGGGCGGCCCTGGAAACAGTGAAGGACTGGCCCATGGTGCCTCTTCCAGTGCAAACAGAGCTTGGGAGAGCCACGCAGAGGGTTGCCGGAGGCTGTCACATCAGAAAATGGAGCCTGGGAGGCCATTTTCACTGATAGAGTGCTCAGGCCGCCATAGGCACCCCCGACATCAAGCTGTGCACGCCCACCCTGCCTATGAGCACTCTGCCTCCCCAAGGACAAATGCAACCCTGATGTGGCCATCAATGAAATCAAGTTTGACAACCCTGTTCTAGAATAATAGAATCATAGAGGACCACATAGGACATCAAACAATTGCTAATGTAATGACAGTGGTATATAATCCAACAAACTTCAGTCACTAGAAAGTGGCAGCTAATTTCATCTAGTGGCTGACGACTCGTTCGCTTTTGCTGGCACACTTCTAGTGAACCTACTGGTAATTGGTTCCATTGTCAAGGTAATTTTAGTGACTGCATTTTTTTTCACCCAACATAATCAAAATTTGCCTTTCCAAAAATTAGCATTCTATGTCCTGTAACTTTGGGTTGATCAAAAGCAGACTTTTGTATAACCATTGTGCAAAGTGCCCCACTGTATTTTTAAAGGATGAAAAAATCATAAGTATTTTGTTGATAAATCCATATGAACCTCTGCTAAATATCTCGTTGGGGTTTGGAGATGTTTATACCTATTACCTAAATGTTATGTAGGCACACTGACTTTTTCTGTTGTGCTCCTTTTTCCCTTTCTGGAGTTCTTTGCAATTGAAGCTTTATAGTATCTCCCTTTTAAACTCCACTTTCCCATTAGTTTCTAAAGGGGGGCCTTATTATCACTGGTCTGAGATTATAAGAAACCAACTTTTTCAAAGTTCAAGGTGTTTCTTTGAACAAGAAACCAGATCTAATTTTGATTTGCATTTTAAAGCAGCTTATACAATTCCTATTTGGGTATAATTCTTACCCCTGGTTTGAAAGCATTCCAGAATGCTTCAAGGTAAGTATTCAAGGCAATCTCAGAAAGATTGGCTGGAAAGAAAGAATTCTGATAGTCTCCCATTGATCTTGGAGTAGGGTTAAGATTAGTGTGAGAACTTTATACTGTATATTTTTATAGTCCTTGCAACTATGTGTGGTTACTCAGATTTAAATGTCCAATTTCACCTATAGACTTGATGTTTGAATTTCAGAAAGAGAAATTCATACTAAAATTATACATTGTTTACTTTGTCAGTTTTGCATAAATGGAGAAAAGATTCTCTAAAAATAAATTTGGCTCAATTTGTATATATTATTACAGCTATCTAAAATATTGCAAGTACTTAGATTAGAATATTTAGATACTATAATAAGTTCAGGTTATCAAATACTGTCATACTGAAGGATATTGCATGTCAAATATCAAAATTTGCCCAAACATAGCTGAAATATTTGTCAAATATTTCTAGCATGTATTAGTTGTTAACTACTTATTTATGAATATTGTGTGAGACTTGATATTGTAAATATTGGTTTTTAGGAAGCTTGAACATTTCATAACGTACATATTTGTTATGTCAGTGATATGAAACATTCAAAAGCATTTTACACTTTGGCCTTTACATTAAAAAAAAACCCCTCCACTGAATACTACAAATTCCATATACATTTTTAATCAATCCTTGAAGTTTACTGGATAATCTTGGATCAGTAATTAGTTGAATTAACATATTATATTAAATAATTGTTTGAACAGAAATTATTTGAAAATTACTGCATGTTAAACTATATTCCATGATTTACAAATCTTACCAATTGACATCATACAATATGCTAAACCAAAATCAAACTCACATTATGGCTGCACACATCCAAAGTACATTATTGCTAAATAAGATTATAGTTCATAATCACAGGCTGTGATTGAATAAAGTCACTGAGATTAATTTGAAGCCAATGTACATTCTGTTTTATCCAAGTTATATATTCCATGATATATCTCTGAATTATTGGACTCATTGTTTGATTCCATTATCTTCATTTGCTACATACAACCATTATCTTCCCCAACAATATTTTTAGTAATCAACTAACAATGGGCAAGCAGAAAATGAAAGTTGGTATTTATAATAAGATTTGCTTTTGGTGTTCTGATATTACCACGTCATTAGCTTTCATCCCCGGTGAATAAATATCTGCTGCAAACTGATGGCCTAAGCATTTTCCTCTCTCACATTCAATGCAAAGGATATTTCAGCTGCTGCCACTGGAAACAATGACTGATTGATCACTGTCTGCATGATGTGTTCCTTGGACCTCCCCAAAGCCCCTGCATATCAATTCTTCTTGATTGCTGGTATTCATTTTGTATAATGATTAGCCTCTGCATTAAATTTAGCTGCATGAAAAGGTTTCTCTATGAATAAACATACAGATATTATGTGTTCTTCTGCATTATACGGCAGAAGGCTTTTTCAAGGTTTCTGTGTATACACACCGATATACATACTCACAAATGTATCCCAAACCCATATGTCATACTCTCTCATGGTAAGCAATTTTATGCAAAATGCGGAAAAAGGAATAAGAAATAATAAAATGAGAAAACTAAAGCACAAGAGAAGCAAACATAACTAAAACTAGATAAAACTAATTTACACAGACAACATCCTTCCCCTTGTACTGGTAACGCTCGCTTTGTATTCTGTCCATGTTAATTCTGTCAATAGCATTTTCAAACTGAAACAGATCAGGAAAGATTCAGGACTTAAAGGCCATCCTACTGTGTCAAGGAGACAAGCAAGGTTTCAGGAAACACAGTAGCCATAGATTTTTAAAAAATAGCCTGAATTGTATTATTCTGAAAACAGAGTCTATTTAATCCCAGTAAATCTTTACACTGACTATAATCGATATGTAGACTCTCATTTGAATTAAGTCAATTTTTACAAGGTCGGTAAAATGAGGACCCAAATTGTTGGGGGCGCTATGTAAATCGCTTAGAGAGTGCTGTAAAGCACTGTGAAGTGAAATACAAGTCTAAATGTTATTGCTATCCTAACTCCCTTTTAAATTGTAGTTTCTATAAACTAGCTTTTTGAGATATTAAATACCCATTAGAAACTCTTTCCTATACCTCTATGAAAATTCTCAGTCATCCAAATCATGGCTGCCCTAAAGGTGTTGTTCAAAAGGCAAGTGGGCTTTCTTGGTAAACCCAGTTACCTTTTGAGCAGCATCTTTGGGGTGTTCCCCAAATCAGGCTTTTTTGAGATATAATGATATGCGACAAACATTTATTGGAAGAAAAGTTTCTGATCTTAACCGTCCTTCGAGAATATAAGCATATGTACTTCAGTCAGCATGCTTAAGGTCATATAAAGTAGGGGAGAAAAGAAATACAAAATCATCCACAGTGAATCATTCCTTGCTGCTTTTGATTTCAGTATGGTATATTTGAACGAAATTATCTGAGATATTTCTTGTACCGTGAAGAAGCACTACAGAAGTGTTTCGAATTTGCTGGCATTAAATCTTGTCACAGAAGTATGACAATCCACCTTGCTTCTCCCTATGAAATCAGGTGGTTCTGTAATATAAAAATCCACACCCAGAAAAGAAAGCAACCAACCACTGTGACAGCTAATCATTTGCAAACATACAGCTCTTTTAACACCTGCCACGTCTCCCTCCATTTTACAGTATTTGTCTTGGCAATATAAATTGAGTTTGGGTTCAGCCGTGCTTGGTGTGACAGAATGAAGAAAAACAATTTGGCAACTAAAGAAATAGAACTTGGTGTGAGAAGAATCCCGCATGGGAAGAGAAAGACAAAGGTTCTTTCCTCAAGGAAAAATGGCCGTTGGTTTGTTTTGCTTTTTTACCATCTTTAAAGAGAAAAGCAATGCTGCTAGAAGCAACCTGACAACCTGCACATTTATGAAAGATGCCAGGTAACCCGAAGCCCTTCTGAAGGAGCCCCTTTCAATAAAATGCTGCTTGGAAAGAAAACAATTTAGCCCGCTGTACAGAAATGAAAAGTGTTAGTGAAGGAAACATAAGTGAAAATGTTTCTTATATTGTTCAAAGGAGGTTTGTTTCCCTGCCCCAAACCCCCAACCAAGCTCATATGTTCCACGAATGGAGGGGAAAAAATATTGTTTGCTGGGAAAAAGATAAATTCAGGTTGGAGCTAATGAATCATGTCACCTTCTTAAGTAGCATTACATTCTCATCATGTAGATGTGACTCTCAGCTGTTGCCGAGTTGCATCCCTTTATAAAAACAAATAGAATATTCAGTTCTGGTTAGGCATTTGGAATTTGTCAGGGTGTTATGTATTGTTCAGCGTATTTTAACAAATGTTTCAAAATCACAGTAGTACTAGTTAGAGACATAGACAGTCATTCATTCTCAGAATAGAACAGCCAAAAGTTAATTTATTCTACTGATTCACTACATGTCACTTCCATTTATGTTGAAAACATTTCACATTGGCAATCGGCAAAGAAATTCATAGAAATGCATGTTATATCTACATGAGGAAAAAACAGAAACTGTCACCTAACCTATACAATGCTAACAGGGAGG